TGTGTGTGTGTGTGTGTGTGTGTGTGTGTGTGTGTGTGTGTGTGTGTCTTTAGTCTGGTAACATTTACGAAACATTAGTGGGCTTTACCACAGACACTCCATCGCTCGTGATACAGCAATCGTGCGCGATTGAGCGCTCGTGTTAAGACGTTGGAAGGAAAAGGGAAAGACCGCGCGATTGCCGTCATCAGTCGCGCGCGCTATAGCGCAATCCAACACGCCCGCAATAGCGTAATGCAACACGCGCCAGTTTCCCGCGGTCTATTCTGCGCATCGACAATGATGTCGATGATTCTGCGCTATTAGCCTTTACACGGACGCTCTTTCGCATGTAACAAAAACGATCACGAGCAATCGCGCGCGAAAGAACGTTATTTTAAAAAATTTCAAACAGGTAATTACCAACTATTGCGCCTGCGGGCTTTCCCGCTCGCAATGTAGTGACTGTGTAAAGTGGGTCAATAACTCACGAGATAGATATGACACCAGAGTTGTACTGACAAGGGGGCAGGGCTGTGAGCACTCAGCCTAATTGAGGCCCAGTCCTTTGCATACCTATAATAAAAATGAAAAATATTAAAAATATAATACTTAAATGTTTTCATGTTTTATTATCGGTAAGGTTGATTTCAAAGAGCTGAATGATCAAGCCAAACTGTTTGTCATTGAAAACAGATTCTTCTTTAACCTAAAGGACCGTATTCACAAGATGTGACAAAAAAAAACTATTTAAAAATTAAAATGGGTTTACAAAAAAAAAGTACACGTGATTGTGCTATTTGTTTTTTTTTTTACTAAAGGCATATTGTAACCTTGACGAGATATTGCGGATACCCACTTTTGAAAAAAACAATACCTGTCAATAGTCAGTATTGTTTTTTTTAAGCGACTGACGACAAAGCTATAGAACATACATATATTAGTAAAAGTTTCATCACGAGTGCTGAAAATAACACACACTGACATTAGAGAGAGGTCACTGATAACAACTCAGCTCCTCGCGGTAGTTGACCTTAAACATGTGACGTTTCATCGTTGCATCATACATACCTCTTATAATGTCGTAATAATGTCTTAGGCCCAATTTACATTGCCCCTGAATAGACTGAAATTTTTGTAAAGGAAATATATAAACTTTATGTTAATTGTGTAAGGTTACACTGGGGTCATTAGCGGCACACCATGACCGTCATAGTGGGGGGAGATCTCTCGCTGTCGTAGGCGCGATGCTCGACACTTCTTGGTGCTGGGATGCAATGGCCTCCTTCTGTAAAAGCGTAGTCTCGCACAAGGAGGCCTCGGATCGGCTCGGAAAGGACGCCTAACCAGTTCCGAAGACGACGGCCGCGGAGACGAAGGAGGCGATAAGTCCACCTTCTTCCCGCGCTGTAGTGAGCCCTGGGGACAGGGGTCGGGGGACCTTATCTCCAAGTCTGCGCTCACAAGAGTCAGGGTGCCATTATGTTAACCCGGGGCACTCTCTGGAAGCCGGGGTCCGCCCACGCGGACCATTCGCCGAGGCGTTCCTGTAGTATGCGTAAACGAATCTAGATGAGATGGGAGGCTCTTTGAAGATGATTTAAAACGCTTGTATACGGCTCAAATTTATTGTATGACAACTTGTTTCAATACAAATTTATTCTATCACAAGTTGTATCAACCGCGTAAGACGCAAAATTGTGACAGATCTTATTCCAGTCTGCTGACTAAAATATATGAAAATATCCATATTCGCCTCATGCCCCTACGGATGTCATCAGACACGCGATTCCCATATTGATGCCAAGGTTTTATCTGGATCAATTATTATCAACGATCATCAAGAACGTATCCGCGTTACCCGTTGCGTAACGTTTAGTGAAATGTTAATATTACGATCAAAAATAAATGATAGGCGATGAATTAAATAAGGGAACGTAAAAATTTATCTCGAAGCTGTACATTGTATAATAAGAGAGGCAGTCGAAACGTAATGCCTCCATTGCTTTTTTTTAAATTTATTTCAAAGCTACAATAATAAACATTCTTCAAGCGATTATATTATATTATTATTTTGCCTGAAGCTCAATGACGAATCATAGTTTCAAATCCATTGATCTAATCAGTCAATCTGAAAATGACAGGAATATATAAATAGAGTTTGGTTACCTAGTTATTAATATACATAGATAGTTTAGTAGCTTTGAAAAAAATAAAAAATTTTGACTACCCCTCGTATATCTGTTTTAATAATAATAGTAACGAAGAAACTCATAGCCCTGCACCAGGGAAACCCTTTGTCGCGGGTGCCATGGACACACAGATAGACAACCACAAATTACACCAAGAACTCACGAGAGAAATAAATGTGGGCCATACAAATATTTCTTCCGACCCGGGAATCGAACACAGGACCTCTGCGTGGCAGTCCAAAGTCAAAGTCAAATAATAATTTATTCCATGCGTAACATTTTTACACTTGAAAACATCGTTTTTTAAGTTACTGCTTGTTCACTACGCTGAACTCTCTGAGAAGAACGAGCAAGAAACTCTAGGGATTGCTCTTTTCAAATAAACTTAAATGCACTTTGAATCATAATTGCGTGGAATCTACACTCTTGTCTTTCCATACACCTTTATCTAACACGTACTCTTCAATTTTGTAACAAGGCTTTTCAATTAAAATACTTTTAATGTAAGTTTTAAACTTAGGAAATGGTAATCTTAATATATATTTCCCGGAATCTTATTGCAAAAATGTATGTACACAGTTCCCCATAAAAGAATCGTTTACCTTCGTTAAAAGAAATCGTGTACTATGAGTTTGGACTTAGTTCTAAGGTTCTAATATTATGGATATCTTCTTTCTTAATGAAATTATGTATATTTTACGGGCATACAAAATTTGTGTAAATGTACTGTGATGCCACAGTCATGATACCCTTAGACTTTTAATTTGAGGATTTTTTTACAGATTTCATTTTCATGGATCCAGACCGAATGGTATGCCTGACTTCACTAGGACGTGAATCCAGTGACCTACGGACTAAAACTTCCTTCCCTATTAGTTATCTGCTGGTTTTGCTGTTGCAGCACCCATAAATTTGGCAATTTGTTCCTGTCTTTTTTTTTCAAACTCTCCTGTATTTACCCCCGCCTCAATGTTGATGTTGATGATGCATGATGTAATAGTTTTCATAGAATTGTGCGCTTAATTTATTACTTAATGAGTTTATCACCCCCAAATCAGAGCGGAGGCAATAAACCATGAGAAATAAATTCCTGGTTTATAATATTGACACCGTAGCAAATCAAGAGTAACTAAGTAACTACCAATTTATTCATCCTACAGCATCTACCTACCTATAGACGAGGAGAATTATGCTGAACATGTTTAGAAATGTTAGTACTAAAGTAAGTAATTCATATATTAGTAAATAACTAAGTGTTTGGCATCAATTAATTCCTTTGACGCCACTATTAGAAAAAATGTAAACATTCAAAATTTGGCCCCATTTAGTATATGAGAAGTTACCTACCTATCTTTAGTAGGAAAACAATGGAATAGCCGCTAAACGTATGGTGCATGGGCTGATATAGTCGTGAAGGAAAAACTTAAATAATGCTACATGTGGTAGTTGCATTCGGTTTAGAAATATAATGTAAGTACCTATTCGCTGTTTGAAATATTGAATGCATTTCGTTATATTTCTTAGGTGACGGCAAATCGGGAAAATATTGCAATTAACCATTGACCTATTTGTTGGTAGGTCAATGCAATGAACTAATAAGTAATTTGAAAATTTTATTGCACGTCGTTGCTACCATGGATGATTCCAAATCGAGATTATACACATAATCGTAATAATATTAATATATACCTTATTAAATACTACTAATAAATGTGGGAGTACTTATAGAACAAGAAAACAGCTGTGAAGTAATTTTGAAGAATAAACAATACGTAGATAGTAAAAAGTAAACAAGAATAACAAACGAAACCTGACGTAACAACGTATCATTGGTTACACACAACTATTCGATACGACTAACGTGCAAAGATTATCTTGTTGGGTCACTAGTGTGAGAGTGTGCATGCCTCATAACCAGTGGCGAAGTCAGTAGCTCACTGTGGGCCATTGCCTCGAAACAATTTGATCCATTCTACATTACACCCATTCTACATTACACGTAAATGTGTTTAGTTTAGTAATCTATTTCATCTGTGTACATTATGTTTCTGTTCCTATCAATATTCATCTTACTGAGGTAGATGCTACTTTAAATTTTTTTATTCTATTTTCTCTGGGATGGCTGTTGCAAACACAATCTATTAGGGCGCGTTCCCTTTATGTCGTAACGTTTATTTGTCGTTGAACGACTGTCGCGTCTAGCCTGTTCCCATATCACGACTATCTGTCGTGACTGTGTCGTGGACGTTTATTTTATAGTTGAAAGACTGTCGGGTCTAGCTGTTCCCACTAGATCATGACGACAATTTATCCGTTCACCGCAGCCGCCTTGTCGTTTGCACGACAGAAACGTCTGAACCTGCGATTATCATTACGAACAACTACATTTAAATGTCTAAAACACGATACTTCAAACACCACGACTATCTTTCGTTGCGACATAATGGGAACGCGTCCTTAGTGTCAATTTTGTCAAAAAATGTCTATGTTTGTTTAAGATGCCACAGCTTGTAGGTACTGTAGTTGCGCAATATACAACATTTACTAAAATCACTATTATTGTTTTTGGGTGCCCCTATTTATGTACCTGTTCGCACACAACTACACCACTGGCACATGGCAGCATTGTCGAGATAGGTCTGCGCATGCGACCCGTTGCCTCAGTCAGTACTTGCTTGACGCTCCATTGAGGCACACTTCACTGCGCACGAAAGTCACAATTAGCCAGTAAGTATCAAAACACTTTCAATCTTTAATGGCACTTAAGCGATGGTGTGCAACGTTTTGAAGTCAATATCGACATTCATTTTATTTTAATCGACGTGTGACAGTAATTGAAAATAGTCATTCCTTGATGTACAAATTATCCTCATTGTTAACGCGTTATTTATTGTAGGTTTACTCCTTATGCGGGGGCCGGAAATTTGAACAACATTCCTATAAAGAGCGAAATAACAACGTTCAACAATGATTAAAATTTCAAGTTTCGCATGTAATTGTCATAAAAACATCATTTACAGTATTATAATACAAGAGTGGATAATACCGCACTCTGAATTACCGGAATGTTAATCACAACATTTTCATCCCGAGATTATATTAATCACGAATTATTTATTGGATTTTGCGTACATTGGTAACAAATAATCGTTTCCAAGAATCTTCTTATGGTTTTTAGGATTCCGTGCTAAAACTGTTTCGAATTACAGTGTTTTGTTTCATCTACAGGAAAATAAAACCAAATTAGCTGATTTTTGGTCTTGATTTGTTGAAAATTTAAATTTGTTGTAAATTAAAACTTATGCTTCATATACATACAGATGTTTTGTTATTCTTTCGTCAGGTAGCGGCGGTGCCTATTGTTTTATAATGTCTTTTTTTGCATAAAATGAAGCGGTACAATTTACTATCTCTTTCACATAACGCCAGAAGCTGTGCGAAAGATATCTCTTCTTGAAACTATCGTTCGTAAAATGTGCGTAAGCGCATCGCATTCCTGAATAATATTTGGTGAAGTGCGAACGTATTTTATTCTGTATTATGGAAACTTAAAATCAAAGCCAAATGGCATTAATATTAGACATGAGATTGTAAAGTCATCAACCGACTTTACGTGATCACGGGACTTGTAAAGGGCCCGATACGTTGGTTTGTTTGAAAAAACAAATATACGCGATTTAAATCTATAATATACTCTATTTAAATAAGTTTCATTGTTTATAAACCCTCCATAGTTAATCCTAAAAATCAAAATTTAATCAACATTTAGGTTATGACAATTTAGAATTATATCTTTTGAACATTGATTTTATTCCCTAAATCATGTCCATGTCAGTTAATACTACTTTCAAGGTGATCTCCAATCGTAAAACGCTTAATTAAGAAGCCTTGGATGATAGGATGACAATGGGACTCCTAAGGTGCCTTCCTTGGAAGGAAGGAATTTTATTTTACATGAAATGTAACTATTCTTAAACCTTTTTGAGAGAAATAAAGCATTTTGTATTTGTATTCCCGATATTCAATGTTTTTTTGTATATACTGATCCATACATTACTGTGTGCCTATGCGATCTGGATGATTTTCTGCATTTTTTTAAATTACGCACTAGGGAAACCCTGTGTCGGGACTACCATGGATACACACTTAAACAACTACAAATTACACCCAAACTCATGAGAGAAATAAATGTAGACCATACAAAATAAATATTCCAGCATGTTCGGCCACGGAGTCAGTTACTATCTTTTTGTAAAAATTATTCTTTGACTCCAACCACGTTATTCCCGTTTAACCTGTTCTGTGCTCGAGTCCAGCAACGAGTGCCCAACTATACAGATGAATTATTATTATACAGGTAAAAATGGGCTTGGATATAAAATCAGTGCTGGTGGTGGATGGAGTTGGTGCCAATTGCACGGTGATTCTCAAATCACATGGAATCGCTGTTACCAATAAGGCCAAAATCACCAAAGAAGAACTTCTGCAGGAAATTCCAGTAAGTGTAAAATATTAGTCGGCGCTAAAACTAGACTAAACATTTAATTTCCGTATTCCACGTCGAGGTCAAATAAGCGAGCAACACTTAACGTGGTTTATTAGTTACATCGTTACGTAAACTGGGACAAAAAACAGTGGTAGGGTATTGGAAAGGAATAGTAGCTTGTACAATTAATAATAACAACATGTCAGACAGCGAAATTCCTTGTATTGTAAAGATCAGAGAATTAACTCCGGGACACTACCCAAATTGGTCCATACTGGAATCGTAATTCGTTATCTTATAGGTTAAATTACGTACGCTTTCCTCATATGGCTTGCACTATGAGTCTTCTCATAAGCAGTTTAGTTAGCTTTTATTACATGCTTTAACATTGAAGGATCTGTTTAGAGGACACATATGCCTTGCAGTGGGACATATGATTGTGATGTAAGAAAGGATAAAATTTCATGTCTTGGTGTTAAACAAATTTCTTTATGGATTTGTACTTACCAATTTTTTTTAAAAGATAAGTATATAATAAATCCAATGAAATTTTTCTTGTGTGTTTGCACCATATATATTTATAGAAGTGGGGTAAGTATTGGTAGTCGTATTTGTTGCCATTGATTATTGACAGCAGTGGTCTAATTTTATTGACTGAATGCTGGGCTTAGAGGTTGGTAAAACCAAGTCTAAACTGCTAGGTGGTTATTGGTGTCAGTCACATTTATATGGTCTGTGGCGTCAGTTATTGAGCTGTGTCAATAACTAATTTGAACTCGACAGTATTTGGATTTGCGTGAAGCACCTTAGTAAATATTATTATTAAATATGAGTATTTCAGTTTGTATAATAATAGAATATTCTTCTCAATTATTTTAATTCATGCTATTTTATTATAACGTACCTATTCTAATTTCTTTTCCTTGTTTTCTTTTCTCTTATTTATTTTAGATTAACTAGATGCATAAATTGTTATTAATATTAAAACACAATAATAATGCTAAGTATAACGTTATATAGTATTGTCGAAATCGTAAAACGGTCGCCAGTCTAGTGTGGGACCTAATGTAATCAGTCTGCTTACTGGCATGACATCATGTTTGCATTGCATATAAAAGTTAAAACACAACCGTAATTTAGCGTAAGCTTTTTGTAAGAATTATTTTTTTATAACATGCTTGTCAACGGCGTGACATAAGCTTAACTACCAAGTAAGTTAATTTTTCAATTAGAGCAATGGTACTTATATTACTTTTACGATATATTAGTATTTAAGAAAGTATAAATTGTTCCAGAATTATGAGGCTTTAGTAGTGAGATCAGCGTCTCAAGTCACTAAGGAGGTACTGAATGCAGGCACAAAGTTGAAGGTAGTCGGGCGCGCGGGCGCAGGTGTTGACAACATTGACGTGGAAGCTGCGAGTAGCAAAGGAATTGGTGTTATCAAGTAAGTTTAGTTTAAAGCGCAACAGAACATTACACTTAAGTTAACGCTCACAAAGTCCAAATGTATGTATTGTTACAATAAGACCCTTTATCGTCAGCTTTCCGCTTAACCTCTGCTTAAGCTTACTTCAACGCGGGCCTATATTTTAGGAGGTGAGGTGTGGTGCGCCGCCACTTGCGTCCTGCAACCGCGCGCTATCAATTAATATAAATAAAATAAGAACATGCGGAGAAAATGTGACACAGATACGTTGTCGACAACCGCCTAATGGAAAATGACAACGAAGCAGCGCGTGGCGTCGTTAAACCACTGGGCAATTTTAAAATTTTGGGATAAATGTGATTTTAATAACTATAGGGCTTCAGTTGAAAACCAAATTTAGCAGGTTCTCTGTAGTACTTAAAGAGAAATATTTCCATATAAAAATTGTATGCAAAGTTACATATTTTGTTCTTAACTAATTAGATTTAATTAAATTTTTATTGAATTGATATTCAATTATTTTTTGTGAAATTACTCCACTAGTTTGTTATAGTTATTAATACAAAGATCGAACACTCAGAAAAAATTCCTTCGATCCGGTCGGATTCGAACCGACTTCTTCTTGCATACCGTGCCAGAAGCTATACCAACTAAGCCACGGAACGAACCAACGGACCTCACGAATTTTTCTATGTGCTTGCGTCGTGTCTTTGTACTTGGTCTTTCAACGACTTTTTAGTCGTAACGCCATCTATGAGAAATCTATGACAGATTTATCACCCAGTTAGTACCTTTACGAATTCGGTTCGAATCCGACCGGATCGAAGGAATTTTTTCTGAGTGTTCGATCTTTGTATTAATAATTATAACAAACTAGTGGAGTAATTTCACACAAAATAATTGAATATCAATTCAATAAAAATTTAATTACCAGTATATTATCAAAATAAAAATACACAAAGATTCCTCTATAATGTAACGTGTATCTGCAAGAGTGATTTTTTACCTAAATAATGTTTGTTTCACAGTGCACCTGGAGCGAATGCAATGAGTGCATGCGAATTGACCTGCGGGCTGATGCTGTCTCTTGCGAGAAACGTGGTGCCGGCTGCAGCGGCACTGCGTGCCGGCCGCTGGGAGAGGACCCAGCACACCGGCACTGAGCTCTACGGCAAGACTCTCGGTGTCATCGGTCTTGGACGGGTTGGACGCGATGTGGCAGTCAGAATGCACGCTTTTGGAATGACGGTAATGATTGTAGTACTTTTGTAGTATATGTAGCGATATATTTCAAAAGTGAAATAGGCAACTTTGCTGTAGCGCATTTTGAAATGACGGTAAATTAATAAATCTATTTTTCATTCTCCTTAGGTTATACATATATTACGGTACCTATTGGTAACTTAGTAGTTGTGTAGTGTGTTCGTAAAAAGTTCACGTAAATAGTAGTAAGATACAAGAGTAGTAGGTAATGCGAGAATTTGAAGTGACGAGCCCTGCAAGTCAATTTATATAATTTATGATTTGATACCATATCTTAACTTCAAGTATCGCAATATGCTGTAAGATAGGAAGGTACATGTTTTTATCACATGCGACAAGCGAGTTCAAAGCCCTCTGTCGCGAATGATTTGTTTGTCGAAATCTCTACGATGACATTTAAAAATATCTTTCATTATATATACTGCGCGCAAGTATCTGTAGTAGCAAGCAAAAGCAAGGTCTAAAAACAAGAGCATCAAAATGAACTGAACGATAAACCTAATAAAAATACTCTATACTATATATTGAAGAGAAGGTCTGTGCACCTTTACAATCAAAAATCACCTGAAACTTATATTCTTTACATGTAATTTATTTGTAAAATGTGATTGCGCATATATTTTTGGTTATTTGGATAGTCTAAATTGTGCTGATGCTGACTGCGAAGCCGTAAGCGTATGCATATACACACGTTCAGAACAGATTACATTTCTCCAAAAAGGGTTAAGTTCTCTGATTTCGGTGGTTGAACTTTTTCTTAATTTCAGTAAAAACGTTGAGCGGGAAGGAAAAATAACTCAAACTTACATAAGATGCCGTTAATTGTGCGACTAGATTCTTAGCAATTAATGACATATTTGATCCCCTTACCTGCCCCTTAGCTACCACCGAAATCAAGATAATTTAAGAAAAGGAATAATTTTTGTATAAAGTAGGTATTATTAAAAATATAGACAATAAAAAAGTTCAATAATCTACATAAACATTTACTAATATAACTAACTATTAAATCAAGCTTTGAAACTATAATTTATATAAAAAAACGACCTTCTGGTCGCAAACAAATTTAACCTTATAACTATTTATTAAAACCAGTTTTCAGTTTGGCTGTTCAGTCTTTTTTCACTTAAACAAAGTATTTCATCACTTTAAAAAAATTTAGTACGCAATCAATAGATACAAAAGCAATAATTTTTTTGGAACTTGCGCGATTAACACCTTTTATGCATAATGAGGTAATTCATGCAACTTCAAAATTTCTCCTTTCGCTTTTTCTTCGCATATCTCTGTCTATCTTTTTAAACCTTTCTTTTTGTTCCTTCGTCTTCTTGATTTCCAATTTTTCTTTTCTGTTTTGATTATCCTTATTCATTTTCAGCGTGAATTAAGTAGTAATAAAAAAATGTGAAAATCAATAATATTAACCACGCATTAATATGAAAGAACGAATAAAGTTGTTTCTTTTCAAAGAAAATACGAAGCTTTTCTGAATTCGATAGCATAAAATCCACCGGAATAAGAAAATATTTTTTTTATATTACTCGTAAACGACAATACTTGTAAAACCAATAAATGGTTATTATATTTTAGTCGTTACAACACATATTGTACAAATATTACATACAACCATAAAATTTTGTTTTTGAATACCACCGAATTAAAAAATCAACCTGGACCAAATCCACCGAATTACGTATTTACAGGCAAAGTCTTAAAATCGGGACGGGATAAAATTTTAGGATTATTTGCCACAGCAAACAGCCGTAGGGACGTGATTGACGAATAATACGAACGAATTGCGAAGCTTCTAAAATGCTTCACTTATGATATGTAGCATAATTAGTAACTAGGTACCACCGAATTCCGGCGTAAGCCTGGGTCACGCAGCAATCTTCGTAACGTGATAAAACTATTGTCTAGTTTATTGTGAAATTCAGATTATAAGTACTGTCATCTAATTTACTATATGTGAACTAAAGTCTAATATTGATATACGGTTTAAATTTTGAGAAAAATAACACTGCATTCGGGACACGCCACCGTTGTAAGGTTTTAGGTATTTCGGATTTTTTCCATTAGGTTCTAAAGGTTTATTGGGAAGGTTTTGTATTTACCAGTTAGCTTTCGACCAATATTATACACTATTTTTTTTAGATTTATGTATTAACAAATAAATGGAGTTTAGTGCATGGACACAAAAAATAGCTGCTTTGGAGAAATGCTCAAATATTGATTTTGTGAAAACAGATTGTAGGTTTCGATCCGTTCGTGAGCGCGGAACAATGCCAGCAATTCCACTGCACCAAGCTGGAACTCGAACAGATTTGGCCCGTGGCTGACTACATAACTCTCCACACGCCGCTCATTGATTCCACTAGAAGTAAGTATCACTAGTTTTTCGTTCACTAGGTTTAATAGCTTTCAATAGGTGATAATATTATAGTATATTAATAATGTGCCAAGCACACTAATTACCAGGGCTCAAAACAGGGAATTCTCAGTGCAATGTTATGACTATGAGAATTGAAAAGAATTGGAAAACTTAAGTGGCAGTGGACGGGGCACATTGCTCGAAGAACAGACGGCCTATGAGTCCAAAGAGTTCTCGAGGGACGATGGCGTACCGGAAGATTTTACGAGAAGGGAACGGTCACGGTTGCAGGAATACGCTGGATACAAGCAGCACAAGACCGGTTATTGTGGCGATTTGAGTGAAGCCTATGTTCAGCAGTGGACGTCTTTCGGCATCCGGTTGAAATGATGATGATGATAATGACTATGAGTACCAGAGCAACATAATTAATTCACTCCGGGTAACTGCTCAAAACGTTACAAAAGTTCATTTCCCAAATCGATCCTACCAGGGACCGCGCACTCCCCAAAAAATCCGTACGAAATCTAGAAACCAGTGGAGTTACGTTTAGCGTAGATAGTACTCGTTTAGTTATTATAAAGTTTCTTAGCAATTTCATTCGTAATACGTACTTTCTATAGTGCGTAAATGGAAAATTCGAGATATAAACACTTGTAGGTATATTTTAACGATACCGATGCTCAAAACAGGAAAAATATGTTTTATTGACATTTTATCGATCTTTTATCTCTAGTTACTAACTTCGACGCTATCTAATCGATGTGAATTATCTACTTACTCCTAAAACTCACAAAGATAGACACACTTAAGTACATACAAAAAGCGAAATTGAAATCAAATAATATGCTGAAACTATTGTAGGATTAATAATGATAACATCATGATATTGCATGCTTTAGAAAAATACTTTATTATCTGCACATATATGTCGCTTCAATCAAGTTTTTAGTCAAATTTTGCGATTAGTGATGATCACTTTATGCAACACAGTTCTTGATTCAGAATTTCTGACCGATTTAGGAAACAAAGAGATGATAGTTCTTCTGATCTTAGAATATCTTATTCTATAATGTTTTGTCAAACAACAAGTTAGTTTTCCACGTAACAAAAATTTAAAAGACAATTGAGGTGACAGCAGTAACATTTTTATTTATCTTGCCATTCATCAATTTGATCAATCACCAACAGAAAATTATGTAGTATATATTTGATTACGGCAATACCTACATAAATTGACGAGCGTTTTCATTACTAAGTGAGCATTCGAGATCTTCTGTAACGAAAACACCTTTTATGATAAGCTCAATTTATTGCAAGAACATAATTTTAAACGCAAGTTACGCAACCATTAAAGTCGATTAAAAATTGAACTACAAATCTTTAATTTTTGAAAACACTTTTAGACATACGAATATGTCTGTGGTGCGTACGAGGTCATATTTTTTAAAGCATATCTTGATAGAGTTCAGAATGACGCCGAGCCGGCACTGGCGGTGCCTATAAGATCTTTACGAATTAAACTTTGAATGGCAACTGTTATGGATATGCATGTCGCTTACCACCAGGCGCATGACTTGATCGCCCCGTCACTTGGTATTATAAAAAAAATAGCACCAATGCATTTGATGCACAAATAGCATCATGCACCATTTCAATTAGATCTCTTAAACATTTATTTTAATATTTAAACATTTTATTTTCGATATGGTGGAATTACATATCAATATTTTAGTAATAATTGAACATTCCATTTTAACAGATATGATCAACGTTAATGTACTGAACGCGTGCAAGAAAGGTGTCAAGATAGTAAACGTCGGGAGAGGCGGCCTTATTAATGAGCGTGATTTGCTGCAAGCCTTAAAAACTGGACAGGTAAAATCTCTTTCTAAGAAGTCATATTATAATGTTTTTAATTTTCGGTGCTTTTCGACAGACCATCTGATTATGTATTATGTAAGGAGAAGAAAATTTTCTCAAGAAAGTCAAAAAAAACTCACCTCACGGAATATCACACGTACCTATTTTGTTAACACTCAGTATAAGCTCACTAAAACTTGAGTATCTACACTCGAGAGCAATGAATCCGGGTCACTTAAAGAATCCAAAAAACTCGGAAAGTAAGAATGCTAGGTTAATGCAATAAATTGTATTTAATAGACAATTTAATACTCCTTAAATGAAAGTAAAAAAAAATATGAGTCACCATACATTTTATTTACACAAAATTACATAAAGAAAAAAAACTGCTGATCTCTCCTTAAAACAAAAATAGGAAACATGAAATTTTTGAACTTTATTACGATTTTCTTGAATTTTAATACTTCGTATTGCCTCCTCGTGCTTCCATTACTGCGTTTAGGCGGTTTGGCATGCTGTACACCAAGTTCCTTATACGATTTTGGGGAATATTCTCCCATTCCTCTGTGAGAGCAATTTTGAGCTCACGAAGCGTGATTGGGGGAGGGTTTCGTTGTTTTACGCATCTCCCTAGCTCGTCCCAAGCATGCTCGATCGGGTTGATATCCGGGCTGCGCGCTGGCCACTCCGTACAAGTAATGTTCATCTCTTGAAGGTAGTCATTTACAATCCTACCTGTATGAGGTCGGGCATTGTCATGCATAAATATAGCATCCTCACCAAAATTGACCATAAATGGACCAACGTGTTCATTGAGGATTTCATCTACATATCGCTCGCTAGTTAAAGAGCCGTTTTCTATGATCACCAGCTCTGTGCGACTTTCAGAAGAAATTCCGGCCCACACAAGTACAGACCCACCACCGTAGGCTACTTTTTCTTCGATGCATGCTTGCTTGAATCTTTCCCCTGGTCTTCTATACACTCTGTGTCTTCCATCGTGCTTGTAGAGCATAAATTTTGATTCGTCGGAGAACATAACTTTCGACCAATCTTCAATACTCCAATTTACGTGGTTCTGGGCATATCTTAGTCTTGAAATACGATGCCCACGCTCCAGTTTAGGGCCGTTTGCAGGTCTAAGGGGTTTTAAGTTAGATTCAGCAAGCCGACGCCTTACTGTCCATGCACTTGGGTTACTTCCTCCGAGGCGTCGAAACTGATTTGTGAGTTCAGCTCCTGTGAGATTTCGAAGCATGGTGTTCACCAAGTATCGGTCTTCTCGTGCTGTGGTACACCTAGTTCTGCCCGTTCCTGGTCTGCGTAGGTTAGAACCAGTTTCTTCGTAACGTCGGAGAACTCTTTGTACTGTTGACAGCGACACACCGACAGTCCTGGCTGTATCGCGCTGACTCCGGCCAGTTTCCACCAATGTAAGTATTCTGGTGCATTCTTCAAGTGTAAGCGACATGATTTCAGCTTAAATAATGAATATTAAGCACTATCAACATGGTTTATGTACCCACATAAATGACAGATTACAAACAAAAGCAAAAACAAATGCTGTAATTTCGTAGTTCCATCTTCGAAAGTGTTCCCTTTTCATATTTGATTTTTTTATGATATAACTTTACAATAACTAAAAAGTTTTAATACCTTCATTTAAGGAGTATTAAATTGTCTATTAAATACAATTTATTGCATTAACCTAGCATTTTTAGTTTCCGAGATTTTTCGGATTCTTTTAGTGACCCGGATTCATTGCTCTCGAGTGTATAATAAGCATGTAAAACAAAAATCTAACGTAAAAAAAGGGTTGAATTATGATAACAATGTTTATGTGAACCACTTCGAATTCAAAGACGATGAAGTCATACTTTTTTCAAATTAAGCATTCTGTATATTATGGCCAGTGCTTCATAACAACATTCTTATCATAATTCAATCTTTTTATAGCGGTCCTCTAAATAGTTGTGATTGTGAATATTTTAATATTCTCTATATACGAGTATTTAAAATCCTTTTTAAAATTCTACTATGTAGCCCTAAATCATATCGCAATGCAGGATCTTCAACGTTACGCTTCCAATGCCGTATTTTATTTTATATCAGGTTGGCGGTGCAGCCCTCGATGTATTCGAACAAGAGCCTCCCACAGATCCTCTGACCTTGGAAATAATTCAGCAACCATCAGTCATTGCTACACCACACTTAGGTAAGAAATTGCCTCGCCCAGAACAACCTAGCGTTCTTATTAAGGCGATTATCACACTGCACCGCGCCCCGCGACGGAGCGCGAGACGCGTAATCACGCGCGCGGTGGCGGAGACGCAGATCTGCGTCAACAGGCAAGCAGGGCAGCGGTCTAGCGGCCCCGCGTCACTTAAAGTACTCGCTTCGCAGTTGATCGCCGCAGTGATTGTATATGTAGCCGAGATCCTTCTTTGACACCATAATATTATTAACCATTCTGGTTAATAATACAAACCTCATTCAGGACGCTGCAGTTATACTGTCTATTTGGTTTTTGTTTACTCAAACAAAAAGACACCGAAGGTATTGGATACACCCCTTTTTACGAACCCGATCGGTAAATGAATAATTTCAACTTCATTACAAAGATTTAAGAAAATATGAAGATAAATTTGGTCCATTTTTAATAGCAAATATAAATTTATCGGCGTCGAGATCTGTTGCAGAAAATTGAACATGTCCTTAAGCTTAAAAATCTGCGCGGCAATGCGGAACGTAGTGTGCCATACTCTGCGGTTCGCGGCATTCCTCCGCGCGGGGACGCGATAAAACTGCGCGCGCCGCTCTCCCGCGCGGAGAAGCGTTGTCAGTGTGTTTGACGGCGCGTGTTTTCCATACAAACAGGTACTTCAGTACAACGTTAAAAAACGCAGCTCCGCGCTCCGTCGCGGGGCGCTGTGTACTGTGATAATCGCCTAAAACCCTAGGAGTAGGACAACCATAATATTGGATAACGTTAGTATAGTTATATAGTTACATTTTGGCACAAAAGTAATTAGAAATTCTGAGGGTACACTAAACTTTCGGAACTGCATCAATACAATGCAGTTTCGTTTAATTGCTTCCGTCAAAATTACAATAAGGAGCAAAGATTAACTACGTTTTTAGAGTAATTTAATAGACTATGTATGTTTTTTAGACGTAGAATATATGTTATTTATTGTCCACATAAGCCGTGGTAGCTTAAGCGCCCAGTTACACGAGTAGAACATTTTCCGACCAGTTACCACTATATTACCATATACATTAATGGCGAATATGAATTCTATTTACTAGGCAACAACATTTAAAGTACTCTGAATAATACAACCGCGCGGCCGCCGCGTAGACAAAAAAATAGCGCGTGACGCTCATTTAAGTTAAAACGTAAAAGCTAAATAAATAGAGCGTATTTTGCCATGACAGACGCACGTGGTCACAGCGCGGCGCCCGCGATGAAATTCGTGCCGAATCAATGCGCGCTTATGGTTTGACCTACCGCCTCTCAAACAGAGGTCGTGGATTTGAATCCGAGACAGCACCTCCGAGTTTTTCGGAATTAATGTGTGAAATTTAATTTGACATTTACCATGCGCTTTTCGGTGAAGGAAAACATCGTAATGAAACCTTCACGTCGAAGAACGTTCACAACACTGGAAAACGTGTGAAGTCTCCAACCCGCATTGGCCCAACAGCCCAATTCTGCTAATTTTCTTGAAACCACTGACCGTTGTAATTCCATTGAGACTGTTGCAATTATGACAATATTTGCTATTCTGCTAACATTTAGTTGCAACGGCAGTTGACTCTCAATACGGTGTCGGTGGAATGGCAGTGCTGGCATTCATTAATTCGACCACTAACGATCGATGTACTTTCTAACTTACTTACTAACTTGTACTTACTATCAAACCTTACTAAAACTACCGTGAGTAACAAAGTTTTTTGAACTCAATTTTGGTGGCAATTTTTATTATTTGATTACTCGAAAATATCATCGTGAAATTTTAAAGAATATTTCAGGTTACTACACTCGAATATTAAATAATACGTCATGATGATATTCTATAAACATTAAAATAAAAAGAAATTGTCACCAAAATTGAGTACAAAAAACTTACCTGAAAATTACCCTACTATGCATATATTAATTTTTATCTTGTTAAAGCTGCAAACCAAATGCTTTTTATGTCATAATTAGTAGACTATGTCATTGATGTGCCATCCAGTCGCCATTGAAGAGCAAAATACCAAAAAATTGCAGTGCCAGTGGAATAGTATCACGATGGCTAGCCACTGACAAGTCACCACTTAACTTTTAACAGAATACCGAGCGAAAACAATCCCACCATTGACACCACAGACCACATAAATTGACACTATCGGCACACAACTGAGATTATTTAAAATTAGCAGACTTGGGGTCCAAAGTGGCGCACTATGGCCTAAACCCTCGCCTGAGAGGAGACCCGTGATCTGCAGTGGGACGTAAACGTAAACGTAAAAGGGTTGATTTTGAAGTGAATAAAACAATGTGCGATTCACAGGTGCATCTACAAAGGAGGCACAAGTCAGAGTGGGACAAGAAATCGCGGAACAGCTGGTGAACTTAGTAAAGCCTGGCACGTACACAACCATGCTCGCAGAAGTTACTCGCATACTCAGGAAATGAACCTCGATTTGTTATAAAATTCACTTAATGTTACGGTTTTGATTGTATCCGACACCGTAATAATATTCCCGTGTGTTACGTGAATTCGTTCGAATTTTTGTCATTGAAAAACTATTATGCACTAATGCTGAAACACAGACATTTAGATATAATAAATAATATGTCTTTGTGCCGAAACATCGTCACTTGACCTATTGTCATAGTAAACTTAACCAATTATACATTTAATAAGGTAAAAATCTAAACAATACTACAATAAATATACTGTAACGTTAATTATAAGTTTTTTTTTATATTTCAATTTATGCCTAATCCCATTACACCTCACGGCAATAACAATACCACGTCAAATTTTAAAAATTATTTATATAAAAATTACTTAGAGGTACACATAATTTACAAATAAAAATCCTGTTTAATTCTTAAGTAAATTAATTTTGACCAGTATATGGCAGTGTCGTACCTACATAGCAAGGGAAGCACTGAAAAATGAACAGGTGTAATATGAAACGTTACGTAGAAGTTTAGGTATGAAATATGTTGAAACTTAGTGATATTTATAATAGTCACGTAGCCCCTTATAGGGTTGTGGGTGTTTAAGTCTAAAAGATACTTCATTGATTCACTTTCCAGTGTATTTATCTCATCTGCTAATTTGTCAGTGCATCTTTGTAAAACTATGAAAATAATATAACTCTTTCCAGCCTTAATCTCGAAATAAGTAGATACGTTTGTATGTGATGTCAGATATGTAATGGAAGAGGCGAGCTATGGCGCGTGTTGAAGGAACTTAGTTCCCACGTCGGAACGTCCTGCCGGTCCTAATTGGAGCTGGGGCTGACTCATTCTGCTCTTCAGACTCCTCCTGCACAGCTCTCGATGATGCTAGAAGAAAGAAACGCACGTCGTATTATAAATAGCGAGCATAGCAGTTATTTATTGTTGCCAGTGTAGTCTCGAGAGGACGTTGCGAATCACATGAATTCTTGTTTAGTAACAATGTTATCAATATATAATTATGTATTACTTGACGTATAATGTAAACAAACTGACGACATTCAACTGAAAGGGCGTATGACTTAGATTTTTTTGTGACAGTCTATACGATCGAGTCTTAAAGGGTCTATAAAATCGATGTCAATTGTAGATGTAAAAACTTGTATGTAGTTGTACGCAGAACAGTCTTTGATTGGTACCAACAAAAGGTAGAATATTTTAAATTAGATTTAAATACGTCTCCCGTAGATTTACTGCCTTTGTAAAACCTGTAGGGCTAGCACGATAGGGCGCGACCAGAGAGAGAGCGACATAGAGCGAGAGAGAAGCTCGAGATATTACAATTCTCGCGCAAGTCGCGCTTTATCGTGCTGGCCCTACTGGGATGTTGTCCATTCTAACAAGCTATATTAAAATATAAATACTTACGCCGTCCAAATCGGCCTCTACCAGGTTTCACAGGTCCGGCCGCCTCTTCGGTTTTGCTCTCCTTTGCTGGAGTATTGAACCGCTTTTTACCTGAAGATTGTGATAAAAATTACATCCGTTTCAATATAAACATATAAGAACATTATTCTATTTGTAATGCATCTTTGCTCTACGAATTTCATGTTTGCATACCAATTCTTTCCGTAAAAATCAATTTGCTGACACTTGGGCCGGTCGCATACGTTCGGATTCCGGATTCGTTTACCTAAATGGACGAAGCAATGGCACGACATTTATACAAATAGTATCAAACAACGCGTACGTTCACTTTAATGCAACCGAATCAAATGTACAACCGTTAAATATTCGCAATGATCGTTTGTAATAAAAAAAAATCGTATATGTGCAGTGGCTTAATGGAACTCATACCAATTTTCCGGATTCGAAATCTTTACGCTTGCGCTCGGCCTACGGTAAAAAATCGTAATGTATCCTACAAAAGTTGCAAAACAACCGCAGTTTATAATCACTAATAAATTGAGCGTAGGAATGAGCCCATAAAATATTTTTTTACACCTTTGAAACGCTCTATTACATGACAATTTACTTTCACGTAATTTACGCTGGCGTTCACGCCTAGTTTAGTTGTGCAATTGTTTATAGGTAGTTTGTTTATAGTTTTTTACAGTTTATTATCGTGCAATGGTTAGCAGTGCTTGTCTTAGCAACAACCAGAGAAAATACAATAACCAGCATTGTATCGTGCGTATATTGCGGGTGCCGATTTGAGGCTTACCCTTTCCTCGCCCTGACCTTTGAAAACCTGCTTCTCTATTAGTATTTTCTCGAATTTTTTGATACATTCTCGTTCGTTTCTTAGTCATCGTTGTATTTAGAGGCCTTTTTTCCGTACTAATTTCCTCCGAAGCTATTGATTTCGTTTCATCACCTCTAGTCGTTAAAGTTTTTTCTGTACTGTTAACAACTGAACGTCGTCGATTTAAACATGACGGTGTACCTCTTGAATTGACTAAGGCTTTTGAAGACTGCGACTTACTGAGATTTAAGTCCAACTTTTTCTTTACCGGAACCGCTAAGAAAAGCGAAATAATCGTAAGAACTGTGACCCAAATCAACATCTCAAATAGAAATTATCTCCCGTTGGAGTGGTTAGAGACTGTCCACATTCACCCGCAACGCTCCTGACATACCTAAATCAATCACTTCATTCACTTGCAATAGTTTTGTACATTCACACTCGGTTATGCTTGTTGCTTGGAACTTTAAACCTTGCTAGAGGTTGTGATATAACCGATTATTTGGGAAATGAAAATATTTTTCCGGATTTAAATCGCGTATATTTGTTTTTTCTTTTTTTATAGGTCCCATGGTCACGGTTGACTGGCCTGAAAAGGGCTCGAAACGTCGGTTTGTTTGAAAAAGCAAATATACGCGATTTAAATACTGAAAATAATGTTCCATTTCCTATGTGTAACAATCGCGAAAACCTAAGATCTCGATAACCGATTTTTCTTCGAAATTGAGAAGATTGTCACAAGGCATCCGCTTAGCTATAAAACAATTTTCCTATCAACAAGTCTTTCCGTATAGCAACAATAGAACAGTTTTCAAGACGATTAAATAAGTGCTTACTGTAACTAGATTTGACGGGAGTGGGTTCAACAGGAGCGTCTTGCGCAGGCGCTGCGGCTGCTACCTGTGACTGGCCGTGCAATTTGGCTGAAAGTAAAAGGATATTCCTTTAAATTAGATACTACGTTATGTACTTATAATACATTAATTCTTATAATTTGACTGCTTCGATGGAATGAAAATACAGAACGCTTTTTTCGTGTGATGCCCAGATCAACAACATTATAAAAGTCTTTGAATACAGCATTACTAAAATTTTAAAAAACGAAATATTGTCTAAATTAAGCAAAATATCTTACTCGCAATATTTAAAGTAAGTCCCATAGCCACGAGACACCGATTTAGTGAACTTAATCGCAATTTTATACTTGAATGTTAATATAAAAGTACTTCATAAATTACAAAATTTCTATTAGGAATGCAGTGACGACATTTCAGCCTGATTATATTTTATAGAATACGTGGCCACGTATCCTCTCATTTATAAAACTTCGATGATGTTCATTAATGGAGATTCGATGGGGTTTTGGTTAAGCGTATTTAATTTTTTTTATAATAGGGGTTAAAGTATGAAATTGCCGATTTGTACTGA